ATCAGATACTGGTTGAACTCCTCAAAGAACATTTCATTCCCTTCCTCATACCGCCCATAGTTTTTGGAATATTCCTTCTGAATGCAGTGATTGGTCAAGTGGCAGGTTTTGTCCTGGAAATTAGCACTGTTATATGGTTCGGAAGAGGTCCGCAGGACACCCTCTCTGTAGAGGTAGATATTATATTGATGATCCACGAGAACCCAGCTCCTGGGGGATGAGAGAACAAACTCTAGTCTCAGTGGCTTAAAAAGAAACAGCATGAAAATGAAAACTGGTATTATTACAAAAGCAGAAAAGGTTACCTGATGTCAAACTTGCGATGCCCTGGCTCTAAAAGCAGAGGCTTCTCCAGGTATTTCTGAATCACGTGCACTTGTCCCTGCTCATCGATGAAGTCCAGGAGCTCTGCAGCCTCTGAAGAAATCAGGATGCCTTCCCCTGGCACAAAAAGACAAAGATAATATTAGGCAGAGGATCCTCCTACCTTTGCTGGAACTCTTTCAGGGCCCAAGCAAACCACGGCTCATTTGCCCAAAAGGCCACATGACATGCAAGAACCCATGGCCCCAGGGACAGATGGAGCCCAAGAGATGTCACGTTGGCTCAGAGTCCAGCAGCGAATCTGCGGAGAAATCTCCCTGTTACCGCAACATGGGGTGTTTGGCTCTCCGGTAACTGGAGCTAACACAAATGGGAACCAAGGGTAGCTGAGATGGCATGGCCTGCCTGGGGCTCCCCTGCAGGGGGCTGGCAATTTAGGTGCGAGTGAATGCACAGCAGGCAAGCAGTGAGGCAGCTGGTTGGTTTGGGGGATTTTGTTCCCTTTTTCAGTGGTTTTTTTTTTTTTTTCCCAGTTGGGCTTGGTGGGGGGTTAGGGGGGCAGCACACGGGTTTGGCACTTTTTGAATTTTGTTTTTCCCAGTTTTTCAGCAGTTTGGAGATCAGGGGGGTTGGCAGTTTGTTTCCTTTTATTTTCCTTTTTTTTTTTTTTTTGATATGGGGAGGGAGGTTTGTGGGTTTTTTTTATCCTAGGCTCAGACGTTCTCCCCCTGTCTCGCTTCTCTGGCTGCCAGAGGCAGTCACAAATGCACACTTGCACAGTGTTGCTTTGTTTACTGAGTTCAATTAAGTTACTATTAAAATCACTGCTGAAATTAGGAAAAGAACTGTTTCAAAATGTTCGTCCATGTAGTCAGTGTTTTCCCCTACTGTGGAAGCTCTTCATTAAAGAAGTTAGATGTGCCTTTTAAATACTGCCACGTTTTGGCTGAAGCTGTCACTGTTCATTTATTGCAAGAGTCCAGATACGAAACCACTGTTGCAGAGCAATGAAGAGAGAACATATCCCTTCTGGGATTTGATAAAGGGATGGCACAGAGCCACATGAGGGACAAACCAGCTGAGGTAAAATTATCTAACACTTCTCTGGCACTATATCCAGTCTTCAGGCATTTAGTTAACTTTTTGGACTAAAGCTGATGACTTAGTCTTAATTTTGTGCTGAGTTTTTTGGAGGAAATACTGAGTGAAAAGAAACAAACACTCTTCAAGGGGGCATTGGGGGAAGAACACAGGTTTGGAGCATGGGCAGGGTTTGACAGGAGCATCCCATGGAAAATGCTCCTAGCTGTGACTTCTGAAGGTCACTGACAACACAGCCCTGCAGGTACTTTCACTGCTCCATGCTTTGCATTCCTCTGAATCACAGCTTCCCAGCACCACTGACCCCCTACGCCCTTCCCAGTGTCCTCCACCAAAAGGAAGTCCTTTCAATCAAAGTATCTTTCTCACCCATGCTTTACGCCGTGTGGGGCAAGATTTTTCATTCCCTGATCGCAGCAGCGCCGGGCAGAAACCTGCCTTGGTACAACCACAGGCTATGTGCTGGGTGAAAGGAGGGAAACATCATCACTGTAAGCCAGTAAAGCCCCTGCAGTGGGAAGATCAGCAGGCACTCGTTCTGCACTGGACAGATGGTGAATCAAGTGGGAGATTAGCTGAACTGTACACCTAGTCAGCAACCCAGCGAGGCAGCAAAGCAGCTTCTGTGGGGCAGCTGTCCCTTCTCTCAAAGAAAACATCAAAACCTTTAGCCACAGTTGAAAAATCTCTCACTTTTAAGTCAGGACATGCTAAACCTTTGATTTTCCTTTTACTGATGGACAACCAAGCTTCCACTAGACCTGTCCTGAGTCAGGGGCTGTGCCTGAGCTAGATCTGCCTCAGCAATTCACGTTGACAAGCTTTCTTCTTCATCAGAAGTAATCCCCAGACATTTAAAACTTCCCTCTAGAAGATTAACACAAGGCTCTGCTTTCCACTTTAATTCCCAGCTTGAGTTCTGCAGCACACCGATGAATATGACAGGTTACCCTGCTCGAATGCAGAAAAGATGGGATTACACTTGAATAAAGTACGTGGAGAGTTTAAACCTCTCCATCCTGCAGTGAACCATAGCAATGGCCTTTTCAATTGCCCAGACTGATTCTTTGCCAGATTGTTATACTACGCAGAAAGACACTCCCTCACTGGCAGAGAAGGACTCTTCTCTTCCTCCCTGATGAAAACAGGCATACCCTTCTGATGCTTCTTGGTTACACAGCCAAGAGAGCAGAGCAGTGAAGGAAGCCAGCGTGGAGGACAGTTTTATCATGCAGCCTCCCTGCAGCCACCTCTGGCTTTCACATTCTCTAGTGAGTTCTGCACCAAAAGTGAATAAATATGAGTAATACATATGGGCTTGTCCCCTTTGCAAAGGCCAGGTTCTTCCTCAGCCTGGCGTCTGCCGCTTGGGGTCTACGCGCACGGCAGGGCAAGTTTTCATAAACCCATTCTGATAACGTGCCCGTGATACTGCCGTAACTGACAGACAGCACATAGTTACCAAAGCACTACATCTGTAGCTGTATCCAGCTACCTTGTCTAATAGCTCGTTATTTCTGTAGAGCGAGCAATGCAATGACCCTGCAACAAGGAAGGACACGTTATCACTGAGGTATCTATTGCCTTATTCAAATTAAAGGGACATACAGACATTGCATTGCTTGTCTTTGGGCTGGTACCTTCCCCTGAGGCTTGGGTGTAATTTTGATGCACTGAGCTCACGGCTGCTGAGCCAGTCTCTCTCAGTGTGACCACGCGTAGGCCACTGGCACCCGGCATCTGGGTTCGGCTGAAAGACAAGCAGCAGTATTTCTGCCCAGGTGAAACCAGGCTTAGCTGCAGCACGCAGAACTGGGCTCCTCGCCCTTGAAGGCTGCTGTCCTGCCTGCTGCCCTCCTCCCCATATCCCGTTCTGCTCCCTGTTATCTCCTGCTCTCCACATTCCCCTCGCCGGCTGGTCCCTGCTGCCTTCTCCCTGCAGCAAACTTCCCTGTATTTTGAGGAGCGTGTGTAGGAAAGTGGAGGTCCTTACACTGCCATCCATGTCCTACGGTAGCATGTGCACATTACAGTGCTTGTCAGGAGCCCCATGCCACCAAGCAGACAAATGAGAGCCCTGTGCTGGCTTGACTGGCATGGAGCTGGTAGGTGAAGCCCTTCAGACACACCAGATATCAGCTGGGCTCAGCCAAACCCCAGGACTCTACCGATCAAGAAAAGAGTAAGGAATAATGAAAAGGTGGCTCATTTTGCTGGAGAATGAACCTTTGGCACCAGCTGAGGACTTGGCGATCCACACGTTGCCTTCTTTGCCTTCCTGCCGCCTGTTGTAAGCTGCCAAGAAGACTTCCCGCTCATCTGTCCTTGTGTTGTTTATGAGATGGCGAATTCCATTCTGTGCTGGAGCCACGGGGGTCTTCAAGTTTGTTGGGTAAATCACATACGACTCAGGGAACCACGTGCAGGACTCCGATAGTTCAGGGCTTGTCTTGATTAGCCTGGGTGAAGAGAGACAGGCTGTTAATCTCCAGAGTGTCCCCACCTGCATGGACATCATTTAGTAAGTACAAATCATCATTATCTGGGCTCTTTTGCTTGATGATGAATAGCAGTTGACAGATAGTCTGTGCTAAATTACTGTATTTTCCTTAGACCCTTTTAATTAGGCTTTTCCTAAAGATATCATGGCAACCTCAATCTGCAGCCAAGCACTGCTCTTTGAACCAGGCTTGCACGCTTTCATTAAACGTTTTGCAGATACTATGGATATCGTGAAACAATCAGTAGAGAAGTTTCCATGTAACTAGAGGTTGCAGTGCATTCCCTGCATCATCTCTGCCCAAGGGAAGGGAGGAGGTGTGTTTGCTAACACAGAACAGGGCAGGAAGGCATGTTGTGATCACAGCAGGCAAAAGGGAAGCCAGAGCAGTAATGTCCTCTGTGCTTAGCTCTTGATCCCATCATCACTGAGATCTGATCAGGTGTCCCAGCTGTGGATGAAGACCACTGGGAACCCTCTGAAAGCAAGGGCACAGTTATACGTTTAATGATCCAAGGTGTCCGAGGTCCCCCTCGCATCATACAGTCTCCGATCTCTCTGGTGCATCTCTCCTACCAGTAATGTCTAGAGATGCCCGCAAACTCCTGTTAGCAGAGCCCAGGCCTGTTTTCTTTCAGAGTCAAGGGCGCTGCCTACCTCTCTGAATGCTCACTCTGTGCTTTGCTTAAGGCCAGAAGCGGAGCTCATGACTCGCTGACTCTCTCTGTGCATTTGTGCCTCTCTGTGGAAATGGCAGTCAGTCAGTTACACCCTGGGAGCCCTGAGGAATGTCATTTGTGGTCCCCTGGGTTCATAAGTAGCTTGATGCATGGTTGACCCCACAATTAGAAAGGTCAGCCAAGCTTCAGGAGGGAAAAAACAGGTGTGCAAGCACTTTCAGCACTGCCTCTAAACCATGGGCCGCAGAGAAATCCAGCCGGGGAGTGCTGTGAGTGCTTGTTTAAAAAAATACTCTGCTAGTTCCTGACAAACACCATCACCACTGTAAAGAAAACAATTGGGACCTGCTTCTTCGCAGGGGAAGGAGAGGCCTCGGATCAGCACACATAGTCTGCAGGACCGCAACAGCAAGATGCAGCACAGACACTAATGTGGAATCAAATGCTTGACGGGGGCCAAGAGCTTTGACGTAAAGATGCCCTAATGGCTGCAGAGTTTGCGCAGGGACGAGGGTTATCTACAATGAAAGCTCATCCGCATTTCCCCAGGAGACCCTAGCACGCCTGGTCATGCAGAAATAACTCCCAGAGCTCTTCCTGGAGATGTCTCCAAGCATTTGTTTGACCAACAAATCTGATTAGCTAAAGGCATATTAGGTCTCATCTCTGTATGAAACAGAGAATAAAAGGAGTAGGTTTTAATTAAATGTCTACAAGGAAAAAGAGCAGATACGTTTGTGGGTTTTTTTTCCTTCTGATTTAGCTCTAATCTGATTCAATACACTCTATGGTTTCAAGCAGATGTAATTCGGTGAAAATGGCATTTCCCCTGAAGTTACAAAGAGGTCTTTGTGCACACAGATAGCTCTAGAGACCAGCACAGGAGTCTGAGGACAGCACATGCTAGGACACTCCCAGGGCAGCTGTTCTGCGAAATACCCTCCAAACAGGTTCAACACTCGACAACAGTTAGACGAAAAATTTCTGCCAATCTCATGTAACATTTCAGTGAATTTCTTACTTCACCAGAGAGGCTTTGCGGCACAGCTTGTCTGCTCCCCTGTAGTAATTCACCAGCTGCACAAGTCCGGGTTCGTGGCCTAAAAAAAGGAAACAAAGAGGTCAGACAAACTTCTCAATTAATGAGGGAAAAACATCTGCTTGGTGCAAAGTACCTGTACAGTAAGGAAGAGAAAGGAGGCTGTTTACGTGCCCTGCATCACAGAAACAGGCTCTAAGCTGGTACTGGCTCCTGTGGTTTCTTTCTTTTAGTTATGAAAAGCCATGCATTTACCCAAGCTTGTTTTGAATCTGACACTTCCATTTTCCAAAGGAAAATAATAATTTCCTAATTCACACTGGGAACAGGCAGCGCCACCCAAAAATGTTCTCCCTTTGCTGGTAGCAGTTTTTAAAAGCCAAGATTTCAGTTACTCTTAAATGCAGTAGGAGGATGCAGGGAAGCACACCATGATACAAAGATCACAGCTTAGAAAAGGGCCTTGTTTCTTTACCGCATACAGCAGGATTCCCTGTCAGACCTGATATGACAAAACACTGGGAAACATTAAAAGATTTGAAGCCTTGCTCCCCTCTGGCAGTTTGCAGCAAACCCCTTTGGATAGCTGGGGTGGGAAGGGACCTCTGGGGGGTCTCTGCTCCAACCTCTTGTTTGGTCAAAGTCTGAGGATAAAGATCCTACTGCTTCTACAGGTCCTTGTCCCAGTGCTTGACTGCCATCCTATGTCCCTCCAACCATCCTGATGGCCCCTGCTGGAGTCGTTCCAGGGTGTCTATGCCTTTCTTGTACTCGAAAGTCCCAAACTGGTCCCAGTATCCAGCTGCGTCCTCACAAGCGCCAAACAGAGTGCCAAATAGACGGGTACCTCCTTACCAACACTGGACTTCACACCACAGTCTGCCTGCCTTCACCTTCTCACACTGCACGAACACTTGCGCTCAGCTGGAAGCTCTGCAGGGACAGGATGGCAGCAGTTGTCTGAAGGGTAACACAAATCTGGGCAACACCACGCAGCCTCTCCCACACAAGCAGCGAAGCCAAACATGGATGTGCAAGAGGCGAGTGACGCCTGGGGCAACACCTGGGTCACTGGTGACAACAAATGACGAGAGCATCAATAGGGAAAACCTGAAGGAAAACTGCTCTGGTTTGAAATGACCTAGGACTGGGGGGGATCTCCCAAGCATGGCAGTTACTTCTATCTTCACTTTCTCCTTTGAAAAAAATGCTTGTGGGAGTGATTTAAACCCTGAAAAAGGATTCAGAGTTTTAGGTATCCTCCTTGGCGTTTGCCTGGGAAAAAAGGCCTGGAGCAAACATTACCTGAAAGACCAGGCAGCTGCGAGATCACAGAGAGCGAGTATCTATTTTGACCCCGAAGTCATGGCCCTGACCTGGGTCACTATTTTATTCACAAATCTTTAAATACAAGATAGCTGAAAACCATATTCCAGAAAAGATCCGTAACTTCAGGCACTTCAAGGTGTAGCCAGCACTGCCAGGCACACAATTACTGAAAGAAATTAGTAGAAAATGTCTGTTTCCTTCCGTTTCCAGTTTATCAATTTTGCTTGGTTCCTGGAGGAATCAGGGTCAAGAAGGAGACCCCATGACTCTAGGTGGGCTCTCTCAGTCCACCCTGTCACCAGTGATGGAGGAATGGGGCTGGTGAAAGGAGGAGAACGGAAATGGCTAGAGCCTGCTTTGAAACCACTGCTGTTGGCTAACTCCGACCCACCAGGAGGCACATCTTTGTTGGTTTCACAGAATCATAGAACCATCTAGGTTGGAAGGGACTTTTAAGATCATGGAGTCCAACCATCAACCTAACACTGCCATGTTTCCTGAGCATCTCCATGGAGCAGTGGGCTGTGATGTGGAGTCTGGTGGTCAGCAAGGAGGGACCCCAAGGCAGGAAGGGGCATGTTGTGAGGTCTGCACCATGCATTTAGCAGGGTTAAAAAGCTGCCAAGGCACCGAGAAAACTGGCAATCCTCCCGTGGTCGGCAGGGCGTAGCCCAGCATCCTCTGCAGCCTCTTCCTCCTTTCCCTCCCGTTAGCACAAACTGCTTTTCCGTTAGATACAGACACTCACAGCTTAAGGGCACGATCCCCCAACAATCAGGGTATCAGCAAGAGCAACAGAAGTCCCTGCAGCTGGACAGAAGCAGCGGTGCATGCTGAGAGTCCCCACTTAGACCCCTCTCCCACAGCAAATGATCTAGCTTAGCCCCCAAGTAACGCAAATCCCTACAGTTCCCTGAATTTATGTCTGCTTCTGCCAAGTTTCCTTTAGGGAAACCAAACCAAGCCAGCTTTCATGCAACAGTTGCTCAGGAGGGACAGCTTTAGGAAGACGTACCAGAGAAGATACAGCTTTTTGGAAGACGTACCAAAATAACCATGTTATTTTTGGCCTGAATCTACTGATTTCAGGCAACCAGCTCCTGCTATAGGAGGATGAGTTAAAGAAGCCAGTGCCAAAGCACGGTCCCTCTCCATGGGTCATAGGTGTGTCTCGTCTGTGAGAAACGGTTTGAATTTTTGGGCATCCCATGGCAACACATGCTGAAGGGCTCACTAAAGCGCTTCTATAACCCCAGGGCTCTTTTCAAGGACGGAAGGGGTTAGTAAGAGATGGCACAAGCCCACCGTGGCTGGACATGCTGTACAGGCCCACTCACATCAAAGAACTGTACTCGTTCTGCAGCGAAGCCCGATGCTCACAGACTCTGCCTGCTGGCCACAATAAAGCACAGGTCTGTTTGCTGTGCCTGGCTACAGCGTGAGTGAGCATCCTTGCTACTTAAGCCTCTCCCGGTGTTCCCCTGCCTGCTGCAGACACCCTGACACTGGGAGATGACCAGATGGCATCACCATGTGATGGGGACTTTCCACTCACGAACGCATGTGGAGACAAGGGAAGAGGTGCTGGAGCTGGTGACTTGCAAATCTGAAAGAGTGGTTGGCGCTTGGTCTCAACTGCAAGAAAAGGGCTGCAAAAACCATCCTGCCCCAGAGCTGCTGGGGTAAGGGGGCTCCCTCTGCTCCGACGTTTCTGCAGCCAGAAGCAGTGCTGCAAAATCACCCCAGAAAGGAAGAAGCCAGGGCCAAGGGCTGGGAGGGATGCCAGGAGGGTCCTGCCCAATATCAGATGCAGACACAGGGGGACCGCAGGAGGGAAACACGCTGCTCTGCTGGGGTTTGCAGTGTCCTCATCCCAAACCTCCTCTTGATAGGCCTGGTGACAGGAGCCAGCACAGCAGCTGGCACCGCGCACGGAGACCTGCCAGCCTTGCGGCTCCTGCCGGCTCACCCCCAGCCGTGGGCAATGACAGTGCATCTCTGCTCCCCGCCGCACCCTCCCAGGCTGCCAGTGCCTGGCTCGACTCTCCCCGCTCGCAGGCAGTGTGTGGCACTCTCCCTGCCTGCTCTTGGGCTCTTCCCCATCCAGCAGGGCGGAGGACAGGGGTGGCTGCGCTGACAGCCCTGCCTGCCACCGGACAGGCAGTGCCCATGGCAGGCAGGGGACAAGCCTGCACAGGGAAGCTCCCGGGGCGCCACGTGTTGGCAGTGTGACAGAGGGGTTCAGACAGCAGGGGAATAGCGAGAGGGCTGGCCCTTCAAACACATCGAACCTCTGGAAGAACCCTCACCCTGCTCCAAGCAGGCACTAGACGTGCTGTCACCCCCACCGAGCTCCTGCAGAGGCACATCCCCACTAGCCTCGGCTCCGGGATGAAGATTTGAGCGTGCCCAGCTCAGCCCTGTTCCCCCACCTACCCCAAACTATGGAAACACCCCCATAACGTGTAACCTCAGCACCGCAATGTCCCTGCCCTACGCCAGGCAGGGGGATGCCACTGACACCACCGTGCTCCCCACGAAACCACGCTAGGTGACTGAAGCCCTCTGCCATGGTGAAAACGCCCCCTCAACGCGTGGCTGTGGGGCAAGGCAGGGAGGTGGGGGCTGCACCCGGGGGTGCGGGGACCCCGAGGGTCTGTGACATACGATGTATGGGGGGTGTGTGTGGGGTGTCCCCGGGCATCCTCCGCCACAGCCCGGCCCCCAAGCTGGGTTGGGTGTTTTGTGGGGGGACCCCCTTGGG